TTATACAAATACAAACCCCTCCTCCTCTTTGATTTTGTCGATCTTTACGGTAGATGTTGTAACCATCTAGGCTTAGAATTGCAGTATCTATATCTGTACTAAGCCAGGTCTCTGACAACATAATAATAGTTGGGCTTGTTGCAGATACTCTAGCTTTCCACTCGTCTATTTTGTTTACGATTGAGCTAAGATTGCTGTACCAAAAGGAGATCTCAATTACTTGGCTGTTGTTTAGTTTTTTGAGGGATTTTCAAGTATCGTTGGAATGCCTTTGACATACTTGATGATAATGTTTGTTTTTCCTTCACTTTTTTGTTTTTCAAGCTCGGCGAGAACTTGTTTCAAGTACTTTCTTTGGTTTTCTGTTTGGTCGTTTTTCATATACTTGCCAGGAAAGTTTTCTTCCAACTTTCTTTTGCATTTAAGGGCATTTATGGCTTCAGTTTTTGTCGTAAGTACTACTTTTAAAGGTCTTCTTTTGTTTTGCTCCCTAGTGCCAAGCCTAAAAACCTTGGAGGTGTCTGACAGAACTAGGTTTAGTCTGGAAAATATGCCTGCAACAGTTTCCTTATCTTTTTTAGCATTGTCTTGGGGATCATTTCCTGCCGGCTCATCAAACCCAAACAATAAGATATTTGTGGCCCGGTGTTCCCTCTCCTTAAGCTCCATTAAGGTAAGCTCTATTCCGTGATCCTCAGGGGCTTTGATTGTTTCAACTTTTTTTTCTAATTTTTTTAGAGCTTCTGCGTAACTAGCCGTAGGTGTACTTTCTTTTACCTGCTGTATTTCCTTCTTAATTTCTGTTAATTCACCTTTTACTGTTTCATTTTCCCTTCTTCTTCTCTCCATGGAGCCCTTAAGAGAATCCACCTCGCTTTTAAGTTTTGCCAAATTTTTCTTAGTTTCCTCTCCCTGCTCTTTGGTTTCTTTGAGTTCTTCTTGGGTCTTCTCCACCATATCTTGCATTTGAGGCATTTTTTTAATGGTCTCCTTACAGCTGGGACAGAAATACAAAGTTGCTCTTGAAACACTAGGGATCACTCTAATCTCCTGTGCCATCAATCCTGTGCATTCGCTGCACACAGTTTTTTTGCAAAAGTCGCATGGGTATCCAAAAAGCTTTCCTTTATCTTCCCTAAACACACACTTCTTTATGCATCTATAACATTCGCCTGACATTCTGACCCGAGTTCTGACTTATTGGATGTATTGAAGATTTTATTTTATACGCTTTACACTTTAACAGAATAAATGACGCTTCCGCCAACCTGTCCTGGTTTCGTTTTACGGCACCGCGAAAGGAACTTTGCCCCGGTCGACCCGTAGAAGGCTTGGCTCCTATCAGTGTTTACAATAGACAAAAAACGCACAAAAAAAAGAAAAAAAATTGGACAAAATATAATGGATATGAATGTTTATGTTTATTAAGTATCCTTTGTGTTAGTTGTTTTACGCGCTTTAATGAAAATTAAGTAGTTTTTAAGCTAAGTAAAATGCTCATCTTACGTGACCACCCCAGATGCACCACCTCTCAAAATATCAAAATTTTTAAACACTTCTTAACACTTCAAACTCAGAACTTTGTAGGACGATATTTTCAAACCAACCTCATATATCCTTAATTAACAGTATTTTTTTTTAAATTTTTCTTTGGTATCGGAATTAACTGCTTTTTAGGTGCTCCTAAATATGTAGTTGAAGAATAGTATATTAAAATACAAGTTGCAGAAGGCCATATATTCCCGCACGAATACGAGCGACGAAGGAGCAAGTGGACGAACGAATGAGTGCGGGAATAGCCTTCTGCAACGTGAGTTTTATACTATTTTCTCGATTTTGGATTTTATTTTTCATTTTCTAACAAAAATTTGTGGTCGCTGTTAGTTGCAATTTTTTTTTTGCAAAATATGTCAGTTGGTGACACTTACTTACCAACCAACTGACAGATAGATTTCATTATTTTAAAAGGTTTGACAATTTTGACGGTACCAATGGGTATACTTTGAAAACTAAATGTCACTAAAAATCGTTGAAGAATGAGCTTCATTCTTCAATGATTTTGCGTGCGGGAATAATGACATTCTCACATCAAAATCGAGAAAGAATGGGGGGTGTTTTGTGAAAGAATTGAATCAGTTAATTATTAACTGAGTTACAGATTTTTTCTCATTATTAGGGGATTGTTGGCTTCACATTTACTTGAATTACTTGGTGGTGTGTCAGAGGCTGAAATGTTTAGATAGGAATTAGGTGTTATTTAAGTGCTCCTACATAGTCAAAGAAAAACTTGAATCAGTGAATAATGAACTAACTCAAGTTTTTCTTCGACTATTCAGGAGCAACTAAATAGCACCTAATTTCAATACACTGTCATCAGATTCGTTGCAATTACACCTTAAGTAAACGTAAAGCCAGCAATACCCTAATAATGAAAAAAAAAATAATGAAAATGCGTGAAATGAAATATATCTTTATTAAATAGGTTGGTACACCTAAAATACACAAAATACAAGAAAAAAAATGCCTATTAGACATACAAGTAACTATCTACAAAATACAAGTAAAAATCTTAAGATAGCAGCACATTACTCTGGTTCACCCAATCACATCAAGATGGTAAATGCAATAGTAGATTAAATAATCTTTAGCCTGAATGTAATCCCTCAGTCCATCTTTGAAACGCTGAACTGAGGGAAGGCCCCTGATATCATTTGGAACACTGTTAAATTCCTGAAAGCCTTTAAAAACAATGAGTTCATAGTACTCTTGAAATTTGTTCTTGGAATAAAGAGATGATCATTATTCCTTGTAGGGTAATCATGGATATCCCCTCAGATATCCCTATTAAAAATTTAGCTATTTTTTGCTATTTTTTTCTCAATGGGATTGAAAGCTAAGTAAATTGTTTTTGTTTTAGCGTACATAGAGAAAAGTTATCCAAGAGGTCAAAGGACCAGGAAAGATAATCTCGAGGACGCTAAAAATTTTCGCGGTCATGGCATACACACTATTTTTTATGCAACTATAAAAATTATGTAAAGTTACAGAAAGACTTTATGGATTTGACACATTCTGCACGTGAGGTGTGGCGGCCACGAAATTGAATTTCGCGGCCTGTGTAGCAGCTATGAAAACTCATTTCGCGGATGGTTGCACAAAAACATAAAACCAGCACTTCCCTAATAATGGAAAAAATCTGTAACTGAGTTAATAATTAACTGATTCGACTTCTTAGGAGCACCTAGAAAGCACTATATTCTGATACCAAAGAAAAATAAAAAAAAAATAAATACTATAGGGGACTGCTAGCTTCCATAAACCTAGCAGTCCCTTCGTTCTTTTTCTTTTTTTTTTTTTTTTTTTGATTTTCTCAAAAACTAAAGGAGCACCTAATTTTAAATTAGAGGCCCTAATTAGCACCTAATTATTATATAGTTCCCAAAGATTGTTTCCACCATGGGAATGCTAGGTTTATACACCTAGTAATTCAAGGTTTTCTGAATTTGTACAGATTTGGTGGGTGAGCAGAGAACTGAAAAAGTAACCACACTTCCATTCAACATTTTTTGAAATTTTGAGAAATGTAATCCTAATTAAAATTAAAAAAAAAAAGAAACCATTAATATTTAATAAATTATAAAGCATGTCAGATAATAAAAAAAGAAAAACAGATGGTCTTCCTGTTTTATAAAATCCTCTGAATTATTGGTTGCCAGCTCTACAATGGTCGAATGAGATGAGATTTTGATGGCTTGTAAATGAATATGGGGATCACCTTGACTTATTAAATTCCTTAAAGTAGATATATTCAACAAGGCCTTCAGGAAATAAACTTTATGAATAAATCCTCATGAATTTACATAATAGGTATTAGATTGCCCAAATTGATGCCTAAATATTTTTATTTTTTACTTTTTATTCCGATGGTTCATTTTCAATGTGAAAAACCCCAATTAATTATTAAGATTATTGCGAGGATTAGTGGAATATATCTCAGATTATATTTAAATATGCATTAACATGAATGTTAGAATGTTGCACCACGATGTTACTTCAACCCCTTATCGTTATTTACCTAACAAATGCGGAAAGTGATACTTAATGGCACGCAAGGGCAATTAGGGGAGGTAAAGGCACTTTCCGCATGTGTTAGGGTATGTACAAAATTTTACGTATGAGCATCTACAACCCAAAAAAAAACATTATTAAAATTGTTGAAAGACAAGGGATTTCTGATTACCTATCAATACCAAAGTCTACTTTACTGCATACTATGTGGTAAAGTAACTTTACTGCACAACTTCACTAGAATCTACGTTACTGCACATGCGGTAAAGTGCTTCTTTGCACTTGCAAAGAAGTGCGATAAAGTGCACTTTCTGCATGCTCGTAGGTAAACCATTCTACAAGAATCACTTATCTACACAACTACTTATGTTTGTAGGATTTTTTTTTTAAGGTGGGTAGTTATTCATTTACTCAATAAAGTACATATTTAGTTTTCAAATCTAATAATTTAGTTAATGCTATTTTGCTAGTGATTATTTTATTATTAACAGGTATAGTGAAACTACATAAATTCTGTGTGAATAAAAAATTAATAGTTCACATAATGAGATAAAAAGAATCTTCTTAAATCTCTCCATATTGTTACGTTACAACAGGTAGAAATAAACAAAGTCAAATAATACTATAAATCTATTTGAACTGGGAAAATTCCCAATTTGGGCAGGGCAGATGCTCTATTGCTGTTTGTTTTACTTTTTTTTAGGGGGCCAGCGGGAGTAATTCGAAACTTGTAGTTAGGCCAAGGCTAGGCCACTGACACGCGGCCAAAAAGAGAATTATTCAGTTTTTGAATAAATAATAATACAAATATATGCGGTGGGCTCTTTCCTCCCAACAAACAATAAAATTTGACTTAAAAAAAAAAATAAAAAATGCCGGCCTGAGTGGTCTAGAAGTGCTAGCCAGATTGTGCAAATAACTAATCTACTTACGGTTTGTTGGTAGCAGGAAATTGCTTAGTACGGTTCGCGAACGCCTTTCCGAAAAGTTTTCACTAAGAAATCACAAAAATGATCAGTTTCTCACAAAAAAAAACCGAGAAAATCAGTCTCTAACTTCCACGTGCTCGAAAAGCAATCCGGTTGATTCACCACCACGCAAATATTATGGCGGATCTTTTCTTTTCTGGCAGATGAGGGATGAGTGAGATGACACATTGACACATGCGACGCGTCATGCGCTGTTCGCGATGTCATAACACTCAAGGATAATACACACTACTACTAATAGCTTATCCTCATAAGGCCTGTGTAGATCAAATCTAAAACCTTCCATCATGGTTCACCACGCCAAAGAGCCAGTGATGACTTCTCAGCGTGTCGTTTTTCGCCTTGACGTGACGGACGGTAGAGTGTTTGCACCACAGGTGATGATTCCGCGAGCTTTCACTTATGCATACTTGAAGGATATTTTAGCGACTAACCGTTTGTAACCGTGTTATAAACGGAAACTGAAAATATAGGCATCTTCTCGCGGGGTGAATGGTTCGAACTACGGTTTAAACCTTGGATTACAGTTTAAACCTTTAGACTTAGGGCCGGTTTCTCAATAGCAGGTCACCCTCGGGTTAAGGATAACTCCAGGGTAAACATAGCAACTGGACACGCTTACCCTGGAGTTAAAACCAACCCGGAGGTCATTTGTAGATGACGTCATCACTTGTGAACGCGAGAAAATGGAAGGTTTGAACCAAGGTTGTTTGAGAGAGGTACCATCGTCACCAAAAGTAACTGGGACAGCATTACATTAGCTCTTGTCCTATCATATGAATTTTATTGTCAAATATTTGTCAAACTATGAATTAAACCTCAATTAAACGCATTGAAATGAATGACAGTAGAATTAGTCCAGGAGATTATTATGCATTATTCGTGTCCCAGATACTTTTGGTGACGATGGTAAGTTGCCTGGATAACTTTATGACGTCATCTGGAGGGGCTCAACATAATGCAAATCTCCATAAAGCATAGTTCTCATGGAGCGGAAAACCGCGTTGCGGACGCGAAATTTTTAAAATGTTTCCCGCAGCGGGAAAATGTCAACTTTTTGCGATATCGCAAAAAAGTTAGACTATTTTTAACTTTTGCGCGAGTTTTTATCCTTTGCCCCTTTTTACTGTCACCTGTATGATACGACATTTGATAAAAATCACTAAAATATAATGTGAAATACCCTGAATATAACTAAAAATCTGCTTCCGGAAAGACGCTTCATGTGAACCGCCAAAAATTACTTCTTGAACAGAAAGCGATATTCCGCACCCGCAACGCGATTTTCCGCTCCATGAGAACTAGGATTAAGGCACCCCAGATGCGTCATCACTCATCAGGTTACCCATTACCAGGCAACCTTTAATGAACTTTAGGAACCTTGGGTTTGAACCACAGTCTTATGTCAACGGAGAACAAGCCACGAGTCCGGTTCGAACTTTTTTGAACCAGGTTCAATGTGCCAGGTTCAATGTGACGTCACTGGCTCAACGCAAGATTCCACAGATTCGAACCTAATTGAACCGGATCGCACCAGTTCCACCGCGAGGAAACAGCAGATGAGCCGTTTGCTCGCGTCTACTTTTATGACATATTGGTTCAAAACAGGTTTGAAACGGGCAATGGTGTTTCCTTTGACTGTTTCAAACCGGTTTTGAACCAATTTCAAAAAAGTTGACTCGAGAAAACGGCTCTGATGTACCATCGTCACCAAAAGTAACCGGGACTAGGGGACAGCATCACATTAGCTCTTGTCCTATTAGATGAATTTTAGGCCTAAAACAGACGGAGCGGTTTTTGTCGAGTCGGCCGTCGAGTCGGTCACCGAAGCGAGGTCAAGCTCATGGGCGTCGTTACGAGATTTCTCAGGGGGGGGCAGTATTATAATAAGACGATTTCCATTAGCACCGCAGGCAACCGCCGTAGGCTAATTCTTTTAGTGCCACGCCCCTTTTTGAGCATTTTAAGGTACTTAGTTGATGACAAATTCACTGTCCGCATCATTTGTTCAGTGGCGACGCCAGGGGGAGCCAGAGGATGCCGGGGCCGCCACTGACATTTAGCCGGCCCCCCCTGAAAACTTGCTCTCATGTCGGCAACAATGCAATATAATATCAGCAGCCTCTATCGGTTAAAGCAGGACGCGCACTGAATCGACTCGGACCGGTCGACTCGGCGAAGAGCATTCGGTAGTTTTTGATACTCATGCAATTAAATGAGAGTCCGCGCACGGCATCGGACTAGTCGACTCGACGTGGTCGACTCGAGTCTCATTTAATTGCATGAGTATCAAAAACTACCGAATGCTCTTCGCCGAGTCGACCGGTCCGAGTCGATTCAGTGCGCGTCCTGCTTAATTCGGTATTCGGTGAGCACAGGCCAAGAATCGTAAACAGTAACAGGAATTCTCATCCTCATAAGGCGTACGTTCGTCAACTCTCGAGTCGGCAGGGCCTGCGAGTGACGTCACTACTAATTAGCAGCATAACAGCTTATAATGATGACGTTCCCGCAGGCCTCGATAGGATGCTTGCGATTCAGGTTGTGCTTGTTTTTTCGTCAATTTTAAATGTAGAAAAGGTGATTTTAACAAGATTGCAACGATTACTGTGACCTGTGACTGTTTTAAACTCGGCTAATGCATTTTACGCCAAGTGTTGAGGTGTTCGGCTGAGATGGCAGACATTTTCAGCTAAGAAGCAGTCCTATTAGGTTGAATGTTCTTGGGCACAGGCAACTGCGGTGCTGCTTCCGGTTTCCTGGGATTACATCAAACATAATAGTGTCGACAGGTTCTTCCCATTTTTTATTCCAAAGAAGAAAAGCAGTAAAATAAAAACAAATGCCCCCCCTAAATTTTTCTGGCCCAGTCTGCCCCCCCCCCCCGCCCCACTAACATAGAACCCTGGCGTCGCCACTGCATTTGTTTAGGTAATTTTCTAATGGCCGGTATTATAAAACACTGAATCGATGATTGAGTTTCAACCTTGGATTGACTCCATGCAAATTGATAGGATTCAACCGAAGGTTGGAACACTACATACCATCGGTTCAGTGTTTTATAATACCGGCCCTAAGTCAAGTGAAATTCAATTCCGTTGAATGTAATGAAAATGTCAGCCAATTTTCAGTGGCGTATTTTAAAATTTGGCGCCCTGGGCCTATAAGGTTTGCTGCCCCAATTAGGGTTGCCAAATTTTCAAAATTGAAAAAACGGGAGGTAGTGAATGGGAGGGAAAAATAATTTTTTGAGGTGCCACGCCCTATTTTGTCACATTTTATTATACAGGGTGTCACGAAAGGTTTGTTACAAACTTCTAGGGATGGTAGATCTCGTAAAAATAAAACTTTTTTCTTGATAAACATGTGTCCGGAAATGCTTCGTTTTTCAGATATACAGGGTGGCCCAAATTTGAGCCTCATCATTGGGATCTCGGTAACCGTAAGAGATACGGGGTCGGTTAAATTATGGCAAAGTTGCGCAATTTTATGACCAATAGAATACCGTTTTGAAACTAGAAAGATTCCGAATACTTCCGGAGATATTCGGAAAAAACCAAAATTTTGAAAAATCGTTTTTTTTTTCCCGAACTTATTTGAAAAGCAATTTTAAAATAGATGTCACTTCATCATTGTCACTTCTTCCCCTTTAGAAGATGGTGGTACTAAATTTAAAATTCGACGTTTCGGCTTCAGGCGACCATCCTTAACTTACCTTTTTTTAAATACGAACCGTAATTTTTTATTTGCGATTTTGTCATCTTTGGGTATCCTAAAACCGATACTGTTTATAATTTTTCAATAACACGGTAAAAAAACAGGTCCGTATTTGAAAAACGTCGGATTTCAAATTTTATACTGCCATCTTGTAAAGAAGAGAAAGTGACAATGGGAATGTGAAATTAGTTTTTCAAAAACTTTTTAAATGAAATCAGGAAAAAATTTAAGAAAAACGAGAAATTCATGTTTTTTTCGTATGTTTTCATTTTTTCCTGATTTTATTTTAAAAAGATTGTGGAAAACTAATTTCACCTTGCCATTGTCACTTTTTCTTCTCTACAAGATGGCGGTATTAAATTTAAAATCCAATGTTTCGTTCCTCTGAAATCATCATTAATTTTTTTTTAAATACGGACCTGCTTTTTTTGCTGTGTTATTGAAAAATTATAAACAGTATCGGTTTTAGGATGCGCAAAGATGACAAAATCGCAAATAAAAAATCCAGGTCCGTATTTAAAAAAAGGAAGTTGAGGATGGCCGCCTGAAGACGAAACGTCGAATTTTAAATTTAGTAGCACCATCTTCTAAAGGAGAAAAAGTGACAAAGATGAAGTGATATTTATTTTAAAATTGCTTTTCAAATAAGCCCGGGAAAAAATAAAAACGATTTTACATAATTTTGGTTTTTTCCGAATATCTCCGGAAGTATTCGGAATCTTTCTAGTTTCAAAACGGTATTCTATTGGTCATAAAACTTTGCCATAATTTAACCGACCCCGTATCTCTTACGGTTACCGAGATCCCAATGATGAGTCTCAAATTTGGGCCACCCTGTATATCTGGAAAACAAAGCATTTCCGGACACATGTTTATTAAGAAAAAAGTTTTATTTCTACGAGATCTACCATCCCTAGAAGTTTGTAACAAACCTTTCGTGACACCCTGTATACTATACAGATTGTACGAAAAGTAACGGGACGATCCATTATCTCTGAAACCAGTGATGCAATATGAACAAAATCTTAGGAATTCAAAAATTGTATTGACGTTGTTGCCAGCCTTACCAATAATAAACTTCTGGACAAGTGCTTTCGAGCAAGGAAATTTTTTCACCCAACTTTCAAGCTCAATATTTTTGGAAGCAGACCAAATATCGCCCTCCGGTTTTCACGGGCTGACAGATTGACTTGAAAAAAATTACTATATGAAAACCAGAGGTCAATATTTTGGTTCCAAACATATCGAAGCGAAATTTTCCTTTTGCTCGAAAGCAATTTTCCAGCAGTTTAGTTATTATTACAAGAGGAAAAGTTTTGTCGGCACTGGATTAGACAACTTATACTTGGACCAAGTTAGTTGGCAGCCAACCTACTTACTTGGATGTTAGGAGCTATTCTGGAGTTGGATAAACAGTTGATACTATCCAAGTATCGTCCAAGTGAGGCG